TATGTATCAAGTGTTGAGTAAGTAGAAGTATGCATATATTGAAATGAGGGAAAATATGAGATACAATTTTATATGACTATGTATATGACACAAAGTGTCATACAAATATACATGAAATAGACAAAACAGCAGTAAATTCTACTATTTACTAATGATACAAAGAATATATGTACCTGAGCTTTGAAGAGCAAAATGAAATAACAATATTTGCTAATTTGAAGCTTGCTATGTGAACTGACGTTAGCAAAGCATGCACATTTGTAATATACCGTATAGACCTGATCATTGACAGTACATTATTATTTCTAATATTGAGTTCCATTGTACCTTCAACTAATCGAATTTTTTCAGGAAAATACGGTATACAAATGTATTATAATATGTATACATATTTGATATACAGGGTGTCCCAAAATTAATAATACAACCGAGGAGGAGATGATTCTACGTGCAAACACAAATCGAAATCGCAGAATAAAATTTTTTCGTACGAAGCTTCGTTTTAGAGAAAATCAAAATTTCATCGAACATGCTTGCTTTAAATGAAATTATTCAATGTGTCTATGTGTGTTACTCGTTATTTCTACTTGTAGTAAGTACTTATAACGCCATGATGTTTAACAATAATTGAATGATTTCTCTAATGTTAACTTATGCTATGCAAATTGCATTATTATAAAATACTACACTTTTTTGGCAAACAATAAAGTATTGACAATCACAAGCATACCAGTTAGCTCACCACTGATTAGCCATCGACGTTATAAGAATACTGCTACGCCACATAAATTATCTAGCGATATTGGTTCTACTGTTTGACGTATTTCTTATGGCTTAAATTATTGCTTAAGAACTTATATCGCCAATCGACAAAAGAGACGAAGATCTCATAGAATGAAGTAGATGTCAGCCATTAGGCAAAACATCCCGTTAACTGCATCAAACGCACACCAAAAGAGATAGACAATTTGTTTATTGTTATCATGTAATAAATTGCAACTACACAGGGTGTCTAGAAAAATTGTGTAAAATGCTACACGAAAGCATACAGTTCACAAAACCCGTGAGCAGTTAAAGCGTGGAGAGCATAGTCGTCTAAAAGTTAATGTATATATAAGTAACCAGTGTTGGATAAACAAGTTAAATCGAATTCAAGTACACGCAGATTAGATGAATTTTTTAATTCGATTCCCTCCAAAACGGAACTCCATACAGAAAAACTTCATTCTACCTTTTATTTTGAATGATTTTGCATGTAGAATCACCTCTTCCTCGTGCATACTACTAATTGTGGGACACCCTGTATAGCCAAATATGTATTAACATAAATAACGAAATTGGCGTAAACAAAAATGGAACAAGCAGACTCTAATGTAACTAACTGTATAAATGCGACCTGCCTGTTCTCGTATTTTTGTATTTTCATCATTTTTAAGATACCTGAATGAAACTTTCACGATAAAATCATAATTTTAACAGTATAAGTGTTTGTTTTAGTAAAGCATATTGTCATTATGTGAACTATACTATGTGTTGAATTTACATTAGTCATGCAATATAGAATTCATTACTGCAAGTGAGAGAATCTTTTTTTTTTATTATTATTTCACCCAAGATAGAACGCCCAAATATCTTAAGCCAGTAGAGATGCAAGTCAATATTCGCACAAAAAATTCGGCTGTGAATAAATTCTATATCTTTAATGGCAAAGAAAGTGTTTAGGTAATCTATTTCCGATGAATCCGACTGTACCAATATTATGTACTTTATATTTCAAATTACGATTTCATAGAAACAGAAGTAACTCATATTCGTATGACATTTTATTCTCATATGTTAATGCAATATTGCTATTTTTAGTGTTTCGTTAACTGAATTCACATTTTTCGAGAGAAAGGACTACGAAAATTAATGTATACAAGTACATTGAAAACTATAGCTGCAGTCATGAATGTAATAAGAACAACATATAGCGCTAGATGTGCGGTTTATAAAAATAAAAATTGTTGATCATATTATTTACTTTTTTGACTTTGCTGAATTACTACGAGAATATATATATTTAACTATTGGAGTAACTTACTTGGCGAAACCGATAAAATCTTCGTGATTTGTGTTCATGTACGCAAGTTCACAGTCCACCAGAAGTACCAACTGCTCCTTGCACATCTGCTCACGTTGCCTAATATGAGTGGTAATGATACGTTCTGTTTCTTCCCTCAATCTAGGATAACGTGACATCTGCCGTACAAAAGAAAGATCACCTTTAATAATCCGTAATTACAACTTGTAAGTAGCAGAGAAAAAAAATCACCTACCCTATCTGTACAAATGCGTACAACATTACTGAGTTCCTGTACAACTAAGTCCACACATTTTAGACTAGGTTCTTTGAGTCTATTGATTTGTTTCTTGACTATTGCCTCAAAGGCCATATCAGGAGTAAACAGTCCCACCCTGATACCTATGACATTACACAGCCATTTTGTAAATATTTTTAAACACAGCAGAATCTTCGCATGCTAACATACGTGCATGCTAGATTCTCATAATAAAATAAAAAATGTGCAATGATAATTTACCATGAATATTCCTAATGGCAAATGCAATTTCCCGTCTCAATTCTTTCTCGTCAAATTCCATTTTAACAATTTCAAATGGAAAACGTTCGTGGAATAATCTATTAATCTTAGCACCACCGCTAAGTTCCATTGTATTGATTTGCGCAGATCCGGAGCCTTCAATAGTCCTTTCGAAATCTGACTGAAGCTGCTGTATCATCCTTAAAAATGTTTTTCTTTCAATCAATGCATAGAAGAGCACTAAACATTAATATTAATTGTATGGGTAGAGAGTCACAACATTTAATGCTGCAATAGGTAATTTGTAATGTTTCATTACAATGTTAAAATTCTTTTTGTTAGTTACAACAATTGTTATGGTTCACTCTTCAGTTACAGAAGTGATACTAAAACGAATAACAATTTGCATGCGAGCTATGCACACTTTGTTAAAAACAAAGGAAAATTGTAATACCTACATATACAATTGTACAGATCTGAAAAATAAAAAAATGCTCTAAATGTCAAGAGACCCTCCACCCATAATGTGCATTGAAAGAAAACTATGGAAGGTAAGTTTAGTTTATAAAATGTGATATTTGTGAATATACGTTACAAGGTGCAAGACATTTTATATAAACTTAGTTACACATACATTTAAACTTTTACTATACATTTAAACTTTCTTTTTATAAATTCGCAGTTTTAATCTTCAGTAGTAAACTTGAAAATTATATTAAATAATCAAAATTACTACATTGGAAATATACTTACTGCAACATAGCTTTTGTCTTTATGGCAGGATCATCAGGTCTAAAATGTTTGTATTGTTCTACATCCTTTTCCAATGCAAGTAACTGTTTTTGTAATCTGTCCCTCAATGCTGGTAAAGTGTCCCTGATATGATTTGTCAATTGTTGATTCAAAACTCGCTGTAAGTATGGTGTTCCTAATCTATCTGCTAAGTGCCGATAAGATGGATGGCTAGCAAATAAAAAGATATTATATACATATTTTGTGTGTTTTAATATTTTAATTTCTATGACAGCACATAGTAATTAATTGTCTATACCTCAGGAAAAACTTCCTTTCTGCTGCCAAAGCATTTTTAATGTCTTTTCTACCCTCGATATCTTTCTGACTTCTGTTAACAACACCTATGTAACCACGCCTTAGGGGAAGTAATTTATTTTCTAAAATATCCCTTGCATCGGTGCCATCATCCATGAGATCCAATTTTGTAATAACACCAATTGTACGTACACCTTAAAAAAAATTATAGCATAAAAATATTTTTCCATACTTAATATAAAATATCAGATACAGCTTAAATTTTACCTTCAGGATCTACTTCTTTAGCAAGTTTAAGAGCATCGCTATTTGCCAAATCAGTGTTTGCTGGAGTTACTGCTAATATGAGGCAATTTTCTCTTTTGATAAATTGAAAAATCATAGCTTTAATTTGAGCTTCGATATCTACTGGTTGATCCCCAATTGGTACTTTTGTCAGACCAGGTAAATCAATTAGCGTCAAATTGAGAACTGTTAATCAAAAATTTAATGAGTTAATATGTTCTTAAAATTTAATATAGGTCATAGTGAAAAAATAAATTTACCATTTGGTGAATACACTCTTAAATTAATAGGTATGTTGGATATACCCTTGTTACTGCCTGTCACCCTATCAGTTTCACCTTCGATTTCCTTCCGTACTTCATCAAAATCCACAAACTTTTTACCCTTACAGTGTAGAAATTCAGCAAATTCTATAGTAAAAAAAAAGAACATAGAATTAATATCCTTAAGTGTAATAGTAAATTAGTATTCTAAGATTGATGTTTGTACTGAAATTAATAAGGCATTCAACTTTCTGCTTATCAAAAGTTCATTGTCACAGGAAATGTGATAGATAACAGTTTAAAGATACTGTCATCAAACTTACTACAAAAGAATCTTTCATCATGTACATAATTTATAATATGTACATGCAAAAGGAATATTTTACTGAAAGAAATATTATATGTTCAAAGAAAGAGAAATAAAACACATTCATGCTGAGCAAAGTTAATCTAATCTTTGATTGAACAGAATTTTGTTTACATTTATGATAACTGCTAATATTTTTCCAATACAAAATTTTCTAACTCTGTAGTATGGAAGATTGATAATCAATTTATCTATGACTCACCAGTTGTACTGTTAATCAATTGCAAGATAAGTGGTCTTCTGGTTACAATGCCAGATCCTCTGGGTAAGAAATCTCTGAAAAGAACATCATTACAAATTTTATCATTGCGATAATTAATTTCACAGTGTTCATTTTACGCAATAATATACATTTTATGAATTACATTGGAAAAAAAGGATCTAACACAAAAATATAAATTTTAGTACAAAACTATTATCATGAAGGAAATTATCTAGATTATTCCTGCACTATATTTGTTAGTTCACACACTAGAGTATTTTTGATATTCCTGATTATAAAATGGTTATTAAACGAAAAAAATATATAACACTTAGCCACACATGGTGTGCATCTACCAATGGAGGATAGAAAATGATCAATTAATCTTTCTTAGTCTCTAATTAACAAGATTCAGTAAAAAAGAATACTTTCCCATATCTTACGAATTACGGTTCGTAATGAGTTAAAACGTATCATAAATTCATAGATTTTTAGTCATTTGTATACTGAAAATTGCAAGCAGTTCGATTAGATGTTTAGGGAGAAAAAAACATAGTAACACGAAATGACAAGAAACGAACTATGGTGTGAATGATTAAACGAATCGTTCGGTTTATTAAAAGTCTGAATAATCTGAATAATTCAGTGAAAGGTCAAATATCATAGACAATGAGGAAGAGGAACGCTTTGACAGGTCGCTGTGTAGGCCGCCTCGCATCATAAAGATATAGTTGATTTTGATGTCACGATCGATAGGGATTAAAATAGTTAACCTAAAGGGGCATAGAACAGGGGGGATAGAAAAATTCGAATAACCGATGACGGATATTAAAATTATAACGTGGCGTAGTTCGCCACGCCTTCGTATCAAACGTCTGAATATTCTCCTGGCTAGGATGAGCAATTTCATCGATGATGTTATATGGAGAAAAAAATCGGCGAAACGATTGGGAAAGAGAGATACTTACTTTCCGACAAAGTTCTCGAGAACGGAACTTTTTCCAGCACTCTGACCACCCACCACTGCGATCTGTGGTAGATCGAGTTGCATATGCACCCCAAGTTGTGTGAACGCATCTTGCAGCTTGTTCACGATCGGGATCAACTGTTCCATACCCGTGTTTCCTGCCATTTTGTCGAGGCTGCGTGCTCACTGACCCAAGAACACGATCGTTTTCAGTTTCACGGCTGTGTCCTGTGGGCGACACCGAGCTGCCACCACTTCCACGCACAACCGTCGAGGGTAGCTGCCAGAAGTTATCCTATCCGTTTTTCGTGTAAAATGCGCACTACCAAAATGGCCGATATCGCGAAGGCACGGTCGGTCTACATTGAATTTCACCGCATTTTTACCGAAAAACTGCGATTCTGCACGGACCACGAACGAAAGATGTCAGCCACTGCTCTACTGCAAGAAACTCGCCGCCACAAACCTCCGCACACCACTGCGTTCACATAAATGAGATCCAGCGTACGGACCAAGGCACGTAACGTTTCAATCGATAATCGAAGCGTGCGCACAGGCGCCTTCGTTGTGACCCACTTTTCGCCGCGAGATAAAATCCATATCGTTCTCCTGCTGCTGACCTTTTTCCCACTTCCCACCGTAATTTGCTATCGAAGGAAGCTGGAACTACACCTTTTGTCTATTCCCGATCTTACCGCGATTAACAGTCGTCCTCGCCGTCGACGTCCCCCATTGATTTTGAACGTTACGCGGCAAATACTTTTACTGGCGCGGAACGTTTGTAATCATTGAGAAAGTAGGCGGTGACCAATGAGAATAGTACTATGGTACTTTTTTGTTACCACATTTGTAAAAACGATTGTTTCATTGGCTGATGCTTAATGCATAAGCGTTTGAAGTAACGAGGTTTTATGCTTGTAGTCTTTCCTTACCCGAATGATACGTTTACATTCCTTTCAGAGGTAGGGTAAATTAGGTGAAATTATTTGATTGGAAGAGATGACTATCGTAATTGGCGGAACAGCTTTCTCAAAGTATCTTTTTTTTGCAAGAGATCAAGGTTATCTATATTTATTCTGACAAATGAAACCCATCTTCTTTGAATAACGTTAGAAAGCGTGTTACAAGATCGAAGATTGCACACGCATATAACCTTCAAGCGACCTTGATCATCAAAATATAATATTTTTATTCATTTTAATGTATCCTCTAAATTAAACATACATGGCTGCGTAATTAGCGAAATGGGTTGTATCTCATGTAAGAGATTCGTTCGTAGTATTATAACAAATGCTTGGAGTTCTTGCCCTGAATTCCTGAACATTTTGGACGTCAGATACCAAAGGAATGCTAGTGTTTATTCTTCTTAGAGCCTATTTCTGTTGTCCGTCGGTTACTACCTTACCGTTTTCAAAGATATTCAGAAATCAAGAATAATACCGAGCACTTTTAGTGTAACTAGGAAAGATCAATCATATCATCTGATAATTGCATACAAGTTAATTTATCTTACCCCCAAAAACAGTGTGCGTGTATATGGTTATTTCAGTTGCAAAAGCCAAACGGACCATCTTATACATATATGTATGTGTAATCTACGTTTATTTCCCTAGACAGCTTACTTCTACTTATTGAGCTTTTATTACAACAGATCGTTATTTAAGAATATCTAAAGTATTACTTATTTGACATATCCATGTGAAACTGACTCACCATATTAATCAAAATTAATGAAACACAGCTAAAAAAACTTGCTCTTTAATTGCTCATAATTGCTTGCTTTTAATTGTTCACTTATCGTTTTAGAGAAATATCCAAAAAACTTTTTGAGACGCCTAGTGACTTTTATGAGAGGCTGGGGACTTTTAAAAATACGAAAATTCTGAAGTAATACATAAAACACGGAATTGCACTTTTCATCTATCTAATTGTTCACCTCTACAGGGGCGATCATTTTATCAATAAACAATGAATTTTTAATAAACAAATATATCTGTCTCTTATACACATCTAGATGTGTATAAGAGACAGCAAATATATAAGGAACTAGGAGCACGTGCTGTTCATGGCTGCCAAATATCAATTGGTATATGCATATACCAAGCACGTGTAGACGTCCGTGAAAATCATGTTTTTCTGTACTCTAATAAAATGTTGACAATTAAATCAAAAACTGTTTTCAAGGTATCAATGTTGCGTATAGTCTTATTCCAAGACTTGGATTAAACTATCGTACATTGAATTAGAGTAATTCTTTGAGTATCTATGGCAATTGATATTTGGCAGCCATGAACAGCACGTGCTCCTAGTTCCTTATATATTTGTTTATTGAAAATTCATTGTTTATTGACAAAATTGTTGCATGTGAAAAGTTGAGCAATTAGTTAGATGAAAAGTGCAATTCTTTGGTAGGTCATGCAGCACCTTTTATGCATTATTTCAGAATTTTCGTATTTTTAAAAGACCCCAGCCTCTCATAGAAGTCACTAGTCGTCTCAAAACGTTTTTTTTTGGATATTTCTCGAAAAGGATAACTAAGCAATTGAAACTAATTGGTGAGCAATTATGGGCAATTGAAGAGCAATTTTTTTAGCTACGTTTCATTAATATTGGTTAATATGATGAGCCAACTTCACTTGTGTTATGAGAATTCTTTGATGTACATACATGTAAAGTAACATTATTTGATCTTGACCTCAGATTTTGATGATTGTAATTGTTGTGCAAATATCATCGAATATGTTTTTACTTATATGTATATATTTACTAATGATAAATTAAAAATTCCTAGGTGTTAAATAAGATCATTGGCCAATACATTAGTTATACAAAAGTTCAATATTTTATTCTGAGACTGAATAATAATAATACTGATACTTATATGAATAGAAATTGAATAAATGATTTTTTAAATTCTGTTATAATCATTTTTTATTTTCGCATGTATTAGGTTGGAAACTATGAAACGGACGTTTTTGTTTAGTCTGTGTTCAGCTGCGACTGTGTTCATTGTAATGTGCGCTCGATATTTTTATTTATAAATTTTAAAGGTATTCTTCTTGCTCGTTTCGTAAAATTTTTTTCGTGTTTGTATCCCATTTTTATTTTATTTTTCTCCGAAACCAGATGGAAACAAAACGCGATTTACATCATTCAACGGCCGTTTCATAGTTTCCAACCTAATACTTTCATTTTACGCTATAAAAACGTGCTAGCCAATAGGATAAAAGGGTTAAAGAGAATTGAAGTTGGTCATTTTTAATCGTATGTATGTTGCCGTGGGTTGTGGTTGCGTCTTACACGATGGAAAAGATAATTTTCCTTAATTCAACGATAACTAAAGCTCATCAAATCTTGTGCTTAAGATGAATTGAGATGAATTGTAATCGAGGGATTGATTCCAATTAATTCAGTGAAATAGTTGTTAAAAATACAAATCAACTATAAATTCTGTATACATATATGTAGTGAGTGAGGGCGCGATCAGTATTTTCCTACAATACGATTCCAAAATGTCAGACATCGATAAATGGATAGAAATTGCAAAAGAGTGCAAATACCTTCCGGAAAATGATCTTAAGGTAAATAACATGTGCAAAGTATTATTTCTTGATATATCAATTATAATATATTTATACGATAAGTTGGATAAGATACCAAATGCAAGCGCATAGGTTACTTATACTCACTGTATTTCTTTCCAATAATTAGATTAATTTTGTTTAGAAACTTTGTGACATAGTATGTGACTTATTAGTAGAAGAATCTAATATTCAACCAGTGTCCACTCCGGTTACCGTATGCGGAGATATTCATGGCCAGGTAAGATTCATACTTTTGTTCTAACCTCAACAAGACATCGATATTTGTAGTAGATAATGATAAGTATTTCGATAGTAAAGCTACGAATTTTTTTTTGTATGTATCGATTAAAATCGTTTATCTCTTTTTAGTTTTATGATTTAGAAGAATTATTTCGAAATGGAGGCGCTGTGCCTGATACAAATTATATATTCATGGGAGATTTTGTAGATAGAGGGTATTATAGTTTAGAAACATTTACCCGCCTACTCACACTTAAAGCTAAATGGTCTGATAGAATAACATTGCTTCGAGGAAATCATGAATCCAGGCAAATTACTCATGTTTATGGTTTTTATGGTCAGTATATATTTTATTATAAAAAAAGTAATATATTATAAATTATAAAATATAATTTTTTGTATGAATGTACATATTATAATAATTATTTATATATCACATACAGATGAGTGTCAGAACAAATATGGCAATGCTAATGCTTGGAAACACTGCTGTAGGGTTTTCGACTTGCTCACAGTTGCTGCCGTTAGTACTTAAAAATATTTGTATATATGTATATTACGTTTATATTTATTTTCATGTTGCATAATTATGTATGTTTTATTGTAGTTAATTGATGAACAAGTACTATGTGTACACGGTGGATTATCTCCACTTATTAGAGCATTAGATCAAATTAGAACGATCGAAAGGAATCAAGAGATTCCACACAAAGGTACTTATATTACTTTAATGTTGTACCGGATTAATTAAATTTATTTGTAATAAAAACTATTTTACATTGGATTCAATTTGTAGGTGCTTTTTGTGATTTGGTCTGGTCTGATCCAGAAGATGTAGAAACATGGACTATTAGTCCACGTGGAGCTGGTTGGTTATTTGGCAGTAAAGTAACATACAAATTTATGGAAATCAACGACCTTAGACTCATTTGTAGAGCTCATCAATTGGTTCATGAAGGTACATAAATGTTTTTGTATAGACTTGGCATAATTAAAATATGCTGAAATAGGATATTATTAATTTTATTTCTTTTAAATTTATTTACAGGATATAGATATATGTTTAACGATAAACTTGTAACAGTATGGTCAGCTCCAAATTATTGTTATCGTTGTGGTAACATAGCTAGTATTTTACAGTTTACAACTGTCGATTCAAGACGCCCAGTGCTATTCGAAGCAGTGCCTGATTCTGAAAGAGTAATTCCACCAATAATCCCTACACCATACTTTTTGTGATCTCACTCTGTGGTCTATTTGTTTGGATGCAGAGAGGTGGTATCTGTGTTTAGGCTTTACGGGATTACATGACTGTTTCTTCACGTTGATGGACACAGGCTGGTACCATGACAGAGCACAAAATTTTCCAAATACAAAAAGAACATCACAAGACGATGGATTATCCAGAATTCCATGCGAAACCAAAATGTTTCTTTATGTTTTTCATAAGAGAATCGCTTGAAAATCAGAATTAACATGCGATTGTCCGTTCAGGGAAAATGTGTATTAAGGAAATTTTTTAAGGAAATATATATCGATTTTTATATGTTGGAATGTTAACTTTTTTATACATAGCGCGCCTGCCATTGCATCAGCCTGATTTCTCTAGTTTGTAAAGTATTTTGCATTGAAACAAATGTGAACATTCTGTGGTCTAGACGCTTTTGCTGTCTACTGTGTACATTCTGTAGAGCATTCGCATCTCAGAGCAGTATTGTGAATGCATCATGCTAAGGAGCTCTGAGTTTTTAAACAAGTTACGAACGTGAACAACAAGTGATTCATTAGAGTACGAATGAATAAATGGAAAAAAAGCGTTTAAACATTCCGGCAAAAGAAGAGTCTCTGAGTATAGTGAATGCTTAATTGATATTACGATCGTTGTGCGTAGAATTCAGGTTTATTAAAGCGTGAGCATATATACTACTGTTAAGGTCTTCCTGAGTATGTAATTAATCTGTTCTGGTTTAGATACTGTGTGTGCTGCGTGCAATTCTTTTTATTCTAGACGAGCAAATCAGTGTTTTTAGCAGCATAAATTCGGCAATTCTGCCGAGGTACAAATAGTATGTAGCAGTAGCCAAAGTTTTCCTGCCTAGGTAAGGAAATTCAGTAGAACAATTGTATTATATACTAGAAGTTGTTATTATTTCTATGCATATGACAATTTTTATCTTATATTTCGTGTGATTTTATTATGAGCTCAACGTGAACACCATGCAAAAATAACTTGAATAGTATTGAATCAAATTTTACTTTCAAAGTATCGGCCTTCTCAGCCACGTATCACTAAATACTAAGCAATAATTTGATTATTATTATTACTATTATTATTATTATTATAATATTATTATATTTTTATTATTATATTATTATATTATTATATTATTATTATTATTATTTTATTATTCTTATTCTTATTATTATTCTCGGAATCTTTGTACAGTTTCCACATTATATGCCAAATCGCTGTCGTACTGAATAATTGTAATAACTAGATTGTCATAAGTTTTCATTAATGTAGGGAGCAATTTTTAAGAACCGAGACCTTTAGCAATGTGCCTCTAAATTAATAAGCGTTTGTGTAATATAATGATACGATATTGATACATAATTAACGGGAGTGCACTGGCCATTGCGTACCATAAGCCTGAATTCTGACCATCGATTTGTTAGCTCATGATATTCCTAATCGATCACAGACCCGACAGATAACGACATTGGCATTGGCATTGGCATTCACTGTCGAAGTTAAAACAAAAAAAAAATAACTACTCTATTTTGAATTTTGTGATATAGTTCGAGCGGGGCATGTGAAAATTTGCGTCGACGTTTGTAACGATTTTCCATGTCGAGATCGTTTTGAGGATGTTTTGAAGACTTGTTATTTCAAGAAGTATAGTCAACTTTTGAACAGTGCCTTCAGAACTATAACACGACGGTCTATTAGAAGTAAATACTTTCTACCGACGGATAATCATAGACGAACTAGGGGGACGGATCATATAAATAACAGAGAGCTTAACATGGGCGTGTGTAAAGAACTTTCTTCAGACTTTTTTACAATTCTTGAGACTATAATCATTGATAATCCCCTTTATATTGTATTTCGACTTTATTAATTAATCATGTAAGATATTTCGGCGTCCAATTCGATTGCTTTACATATGAATACTTTTTACATTTTTCGATAAAGAACAAACAACAAAAAAATAAAACGGAGAGAGAAAGGGAGCAAGAGACAGAGAGAAAGAAAGAGAAAGAAAGAGAGAGAGAGAGAGAGAGAGAGAGTGCAAGTGGGGGGAGCGCAGGGTGAACGAAGAAGACGAAAATGAAGAAATACGATTTATATATATCCAGATTGTTACGATATGCAATTACACGATTTTACATTAATCACTGCTTTTATATTTACATTATTGATACTGTATTAGATAGATCATTACGCGACGCAAGACACGGAGTTAACGTTACAAACTCGACTCGTCGGTTTTGCAGCCTCTTTGTACCGTGAAACGGAGGTGATGCATGAGAATGCCTGCGTAGTACGGACATCCTAGGGAACCTAAAAGTATTAGCTTCTGTGTCTACCTGGGTATTCGCAGGGAATCACCTTTTAAATGCCTCTGTCTGTGATCGCTTTAATCTTATCGAAGTGTCCAAGCGCTTGCGACCGTATTCTAGATCGTTAGGATCCAGGAACCAGGGATGATTATAAAGACAATGACATTATTAAACGGCAAGACTAATAATTTAGCTTAATGTTCTGTGCAGGAGCTTGAACACTGCGCATAATCCTTAAAGATCTCACAGGTAGACAACATTTTAAACGAACATGTACCTTGAAAGTATAGACTTTGTTATGTTGTAATGTAACGAGACGTCTGTAATAAAAGTGCGCAAAAAATTGCAAACGACATCCATCAATAACAACAACAACAATAACAACAACAACAACAACTTACAATTCCCGACGCTGTTCATTGTGATAAATTAATAGAGTACAATACGCGTGTACCACGTGGTGTACAACATGCATACAACAATATATACGATATTACGAAACAAGAAGACAAAAATGAGAAAACACCGTTAAAAAAAAAAAAAAAAATGAAAAGTAGAAGAGACCGAACCACCGTTCGTTTGTAGGGTATGGGCATGGAATAATAATAAAGATTTCATAAAGATCTGCTTTCATCTTTAATTAGTTTATTTACTTGTAATAATATTATTTTCATCGTATATATATAATAATTCTATTTACTCCTTACTATTTATATATATAATAATATAGTATATTTATGTTCACTATGTATAATATATTATCTACATTTATAATCCCTATGAAAGGCATCTCCAAACAGACTTCAGATTTACTTTTTTTTTAAAATATTTTATTTATTCATAAAAATACAGGGGGTTTACGCGCCACCTGTGAAATCTAGCCTGTTTTGCCCGGAACCGACAGCCTCCCGATTATTGGTCGGATTAATAACAATATATACCATACGATCCTTAATCCTTGCAATAACAACGAATTTATTGTTCCTCGGTATCGCCGTTCTATTTACACGTAACTCACGTTAAAAGCAAGTCCTAAAGATTTTACGCTCTCTGTTCAAGGTTTGTAGCGCGCCCCTCCTCCGCTTCTCGTTGTAACGCGTAATTTACATTGCTAACATTCGCTCGCCACTGGGTTAAACAATTAAAAACGAGAAAAATGAGAGAGAGAGAGAGATAGGTAGATAGATAGAGTGTGTGAGAGAGAGAGAACAAAAATACAGAAGAGAACATCAATTTCGAGAGCTTCGATACAAAGAACGAAATGCAAATGAAAAATGCAACACGGACAAGCCAGATCAACACTCGCGAAATCGTCGGCAACGATGGGAAAATAAATTAAGAACTAGAATATGTAAATCTTTTTCTTTACAATAAACGTATACACACACATATATGTATATATATATATACATGTATACATGTATATGCATTCTCTTCGCCACCGACTAGAGCGTTTGGTTTCAAGGACACGCGTTCGGAAATTCAAATCGCGGCCTGTTCGACAGAGTCCGATCGATTCTATCAAATGAAAAAAAAAAGAAAAAATACTACTACAAACAAGGACAAGCTTCTCTGTGTATCGCGTCGAAGTCGAATTTAACGCGACCAAGAAAAGAAAAGCTTCTCCCGTTCGCGAATTCGCGCGCACGTAAGAATCTAAGTACAGTACGGTTCTTCGGGAATAATCAAAGGGACTACAAGAAGAAAAAAAAAGAGAGAAAAAATGAACGATAGAAAACGCAACGAAATGCATGAAGAACGAACAAACATCCCAGTGGAATAACAATGGTTCCTCTGTTGTAAGCGACACGTGCTCGCTAAAATGAAAATTTCAAGCACTCTCTCGGCCGAACGAACCGTCAACGAGAATTACAACAAATTTTTTCAAGCGTCTCTCTCGCGAGCGCGCGCGCGCGCGCGCGTACTTCGTGCAAGAAAAGAAACAAACAAAATTGTGTGTTTGGTGGCATATGAGCGCAGCATCCGGTTCCCGGCAGAGCGGCGATTCACACGGCGCCCAAATCTCAGTTACAAAAGGAATAGTCGAAGGTAAACAAGACGATAAAAATGTATTTCCTAAACGTAGGTAGAAATTGGTAACTTTGACTCACTCATTGAAAAAGTATCTTTTTTCATATTTTTCCTCTTTTCTCTGCCAATCCGGCATTCGTGCTTTCATTCAGCCCGTCGTTTCTGGGTTAACGTTTGCATTTCGCGCATCTTTCGCTGCACCGTGACAAGCGGCCCGCTCCGGCGCGCTGATTTTTTTTTCGTTCGATCAGAAACGCGGCGCGTTCGAAATATCCGCGGTAAGCTCGCGCCACACGACGACCAATAATTATAATTCTCGCAGGCCGAGATTATCTCGAGCCGGCGAATTCGAGAAATCACGGAAACATCCGGCAGACGTCGAAGATACGCATCGATACGTTTCACGCGATCTTTGTTCCGCTGCGAGTGGACACAATTGACCACCGACAAATTCGTTTACATTGTGTGTATATATACGTATGTATGTGTGTGTCGTAGTAACTGTCGCCGGACCGTAAGAAATGGAAAAAGAAGTTTTTGGACGAAAGTGGTTCCCGTCGACGAGAACACCACGTTCGTTTCGACCGAAAACTTTTCTTCGAATTGTACCCTGTTGAAATAAACTTTTGCATAAATTTAACCGCGGAAGAAAGAAAAAACAAGTGCGTGCCGCGCGTATCTTCTCGATGTACAGTAATGTCTCCCTAATCGACGCTGAGATTGCGCACGAAGATGGACAATTTGGGAACAGGAGACACGATTGTTCGAGTCTCGCGGCTCGTTTTCATAATCGTTTTCATAATAATTCAACTATAAGATTGAGAATTGCTGTAGAATTCTCCAATTACGGAGAATTTACTCTTGGAAAATGACGCGAGCAACATTTTTTACACGTTTATATTTATATATTAACTAGAATTATCGAAGATAATCAGCTGGAATTATCGAACCGATGAAAATTATACCGAAAACTATACCTTCGATTATATAAAGACGAGCTGCGAGAGCTCGTCTTTATATTTCCTGACAATTTGTAACTATGAAAATGAACCGCGGGGCTCGAATTCGCAAGGCTCCTCCTCCCGAAATGTCCATTTTCGTGGACGATCCGAGCGTCGATTAAGGGAGACATTACTGTAATCGGTTCCGTGATGCCTCTCGAATTCACGGATCGCGTCGTCTCTTTCCTCGCAAGAAAACTCGAGAACAATTCTTACATGGACACCGTTGAATTTGTAAATTGTATAGCGTTTCGAACGCCGTAACGCGTCTAATATTCGCCGATCCGGATATTTGCGAACGCGGGGGGTGAGGGCGCGTCCGTTGAATTACAGCAACAACATCGGCGAATCGCGTTGCCTCGGGGACGCCTGCGAGTGAAAATATATATATATATATATTTATATATATTGTATGTATAATTGCATAGATTATTTCGCTAGAAAATGCGGCGAACGCGTCAGCAACACCCGCGGGCGCCGCTCGGCACCGTACAAGAGCAGGTATAACACGGAATTATACAAAGAGACAGGACTAGTACTTTCAACATAGTTATTATTAAACCTTTCGTACAATATGTACAAAGTAAAACCCACAAACGAGAGGCGTGTGTTTCTTGTTATTTTTTTTCTTTTTTCTCTTTTTAAATTTCTTATCAGTTTCTTTCAGTTTTTTTTACTTTTGCTCAAATAGACTCTCACTCGCACTTAAATATTAAAGGTTGGGCATGATAATACTCGCGGTAGTATAATGCCCTAAGTCTTGCTGATCCAACTCGTAGCTCTCCCGTAAGCAGCCACTGTACTCCCAGACATCGATGCACAGTTTCATTTCTTTTTTTTTTGTTCCTTTTGTTTTGCTTTTATACAATATACATATTTATATTTATATATTTATATTTATATACTTAATATATATATATAATGTAATATAAAGACAGTCCAACTCGGTGCTCTTCTTAGATCCCGGTTATATAATATTTTCGGTATTTGTTTGCTTGTCTCTTTTTTTCTCTGCTTTTACTCTTTTCCTTTCTTCCATCTGCTCTTTGTTGTCTCATTTTCAACCGTATCCTTAAATGTACGTACAACGCGACGGTTCTTCTCTTTCTCCGAGTCGTCGTTCTCGTTCGTTCGCGACCGACGTCGCTGCCACTCGTATGTACAACACTAACAATAAATAGGGTCGCGACGAGAAAAAAGTTCTTCGCGGGAAGTACATAATGTTTTACGAACTAACGAGAATAAAGGGCCAGTTGGGCGGGGCGGGAAGGGTGGATGGATGGATGGATGGTACGCAGAGATGTATGAAGGGGAGACGGGACACGTGAGGTCGGGGGTTGCGTTTAGAAGGGTTGTTGAATATCGACGAAGATAGGAGACAGAAGGAAGAGAGCAAAAAGGAACGAACGTATCCCCTTAAATACCATATATGTACGTTGCTTTACCCTCTGTGATTGCACGATCTATACAAACGGTAACTTCGAAAGCAAAACATTATTTGTTCGCGCGCAAAAATTCACGGCAACCGGCGCGCGCGCCGAGGACACTCGCGCCTCTCGTAAAAGGAAGAAGTTAAAACGTCCACGGAAACGCGTTGGCCAATGGTCGATGATCCCTTACAACATACATATACATATATACATATATAATAAATATATATATATACGTATACATATATATATAGAGAGAATATCTTTTCTTTCAGCGAGGTTCTTCTCTCATCGTTTCTATGTGTTTCCCTTGTGTTTTTTTTGTTGTCGTCGTTTCTTTTTCTCCGTTAATTATCGTTCGCTTCGTTTCGTTTCTCTTGCACGGTTTGCGACCTCATCGACCGTCACGATTGAACACAGACAAGTGTACGATGATGTCCGGGGAATACAGGAACCGTTACCCCCAGTTCCTTAACTTCGAATAATATACATGTTTTTTTTTTGTTTTACCGTATGAAGTATCCCATCGTTAGTTAAGTCTTATAGTATGGACAAGTATCCCTAGGCTAGTAGGCCCAAGGTCTGCGAATAGTTCGTGTTGATTTCTCGTGTGTATGCTTGTAGTAGTAGTAGTAGTAGTAGTAAGTAGTAGTAGTAGTAGTAAGTAGTAGTAGTAGTAGTAGTAGTAAGTAGTAGTAGTAGTAGTAAGTAGTAGTAGTAGTACTAGTGGTAGTGGTAGTGTGTTTCCGGGGGGTGCAACGACGGCCACCGGTTCGCGACGACTTTAAACCGACCTTCCGGGGGTGTCGAAAGGCGACGGGGGAGGGTCGGGTTCGCGGGGCGCGGGCAGAAAAGTCCCTCGAGGGTGAAAAAACGTTCGCGGAACACCTTGAGCAGAAAATTCGGTTGGTGGTTTGTGTGTCACCTCGACCCGTGGTCGACGAGAACGAACGAGATAAATGCAACGACCGAAGACTTCCGGGCGAATGTGGTACGGATCTTCGGGACAGACGGGTTCAAGGTCACCTGGGGGGCGGGGGCTAGGGGTCAGAAGGCCGTCGCCGACGAACGGGTGGCCGCCGTCGCGCCGATGATTAGCGCGTACCTTACGATAACTTCTATGGAGGCAAGATGAAACAATGTACGTTGCGATAGAACGTGTGCCGATCAACCATTTTGCGTATGCGTATACAAAGGAGCGTTATTTGTTCTTCCTTTCTCCCTTCGCTTCGTTTCCGTTTCCTTTCTATTTTTTTTCTTTGTTTTGCATCGAGGGACACGAACGACGCTTTCGGCCGGCGTCAGGTTCACGCACCGGTTTCTACTTAGTTTCTCTCGTTTGTTTTTTTTGTTCTCGTTTGCTTGCCGCTCTTTCTTTCTCCCGTACGATTCGTCTCCTATAAACGCGTTCTCGCTATCCTTAAATAATTGAGCCAATCCGGAGGATCCGGCGTCTCCGGCGCCTCGAAGGGGGTAGCCGAATATCACACGTGTCCGATGACACACATACATATACGCATATACATATACAATCATATATATATGTATATCTACATTTTTGCTAAATGTTGAGAACTCGTTTAGTCGAACCCCTTAATTAATTTCCGTTTTGTCTCTCTCTCTCTCTTTGTCGCCGTAATATATAATATTTATAATTATAGTATAATACGCCGCCCCCAGCGGAGACAGAGACGCCGGGCCCCTCGCGTAGTTCGTGTTTGTTTTTTCTATCTTTTCTTTTTCTCTCTTCTTTTTTGTCTTTCTTCGCGTCGGTTATACGTTCATCCTACACGTTTTATCTCTCTCGTTTCCTTTCACGTTATTTATAATACTATGAAATTATCGCAGTCGTTTCAGCGAGGAATCATAAAGAGAGAAGAAAAGAAAAAAAGAGGAAAGAAAAAAGGAAAAAAAGACGAAAGAATGAACGATCATCCGTCGCCGCGGATCGACGATCGAACGTCGCCCTCTCTTTGCTTTCAACGGGGGTGAAACGAAGTGCTCGCGCGCGTTATATGCGTTCGGTTATGGTGGCCCGATCCTCGCCACGGTCCCCCGTGGATCCAGCGCCTAATTAATTCGAAGATCAGATCCTCCACGTGTAAAAACGCACGCCGGATTTTCGCGACGTCCGGTTCGAATGATCACCGATCGAGAAAAGGTTCGATTTGATAATTCTGCGGGGACGTTCGCCCGGTCAGCTAAAACCCTTACAAAAGTTCGTCGCGCGAACGTCCTTGTACTGTTAAAAGCAACTTTAATGAAACTCCGGACGATCGCGTGGAACGCCGCTGCCGGATCCACGATGCGGGACGAGGATCGAGCCGGGAACGACCGGAGGACACGAAAAGAGATTATGGTCGCGAACAAGAACGTGTCTTCGACCGGTGAATGATGCACGTTTACGCGCAGAGATTAACGTCGATGGCGATAAAATGTAAATTAACAAAACG